TGTCGATTAGCATATTCATCAACAAGTGTATGAATTGCTTCAATAACCGGTTCCGTTTCATTCCTCAACCGTTCTTTGTCTGCGTTCCAATGGTTAACTGCTTCAATTTGTGCACTTAGAGCTTCATCCAGCGCTTTCATACCTTCTGCAGTTGCCTCTGCTTCCCTGATTTTTTCAATGATCATTCCCATTTCATTTTCATCGAAATCACCACCTTTAACAGCAGATAAGCGATCGATGTACTGAGCAAGTGAAGACTGTAGTTCTTTCAATCTTCTCAACAGTTCCTTCACTCTATCAACATCTTTTGATAAACGAATGTTCTGCGCCGTGGCGGACAAATTATCACTTTCGACAAGTTCATTTTCAAGCTCTTTCAGTGCTTTTCTTACACCTTCCTTGTATTCCACTTGTTCAGTCTTGTCAGCAATCAGAGCCTGAAAATTTCAGATTATCAAGAAATTGCAGCATAGACTATTAAAAATAATGTAAAAAACGATTCCACCCTAAATTCACTTACCTTTACTTTTTCAACAAAATCATGTTCACGTTGGATTTCTGGCTCCAAATTATTCAGCACGACATTGCTTTCAGCAATTTTTGAAGCTATTTCATCGGTCTTTTTCAGTAAATTGTTTTCCACCTCATCCTTTAGCTTAGCTAGTTCTTTCAAATCGCCATCTTCAAACCTTTCTCGGGACAATATAGCTGTTAGATTTTGCTCTATATTCTTCATATCTTCTGTAACTTGATTTAACTCTTCAGACATTTCCTTTTCTACAGCTTCTTGTTCTTGCTTCCTGGCACGAATCGATTGCAACTGATCAGCAAGCAATTTTACATCTTCACGCTCAACTGGTATTTGTTGAATTTGTTCTTCCAGTTTCAACAGTTCTTCCTCATTTGGTGCTGATTTTAAAGAAATTTGCTCAAGCTTTTCTTGCAATTCAGCAACCCTACTGAGCTCTTCTTCTTGTTCAATTTCTAAAAGCAGTTCGTCAGCTTTTTTCTTCAACTCTTCAAAACGGCTGCGTAAGGCACTTGGTGTGACCACTGACTCCACATAATTTCGTGTCCTTGCGGAATTCTCAATGTCGTTGCAGAACTGCTTGACTGCTGCTTCCAGTGCGGGTAACTGATAAGAGATGATCTAAAAAAATAATAAGACAAGAAAAATAAATTAAAGCAGACATAATTTTTGCATAACGCTCACTAACCTCAATAATTTGATCCTTATCACGACTTGCTAATTGTTCACTTTCTATTCGACCAAATTCAGCAGTCAATTGCTCTTGCTGCTCACAAAAAGCTTTTTCGTCATTCAATTCCCTGTTCATTTCCGACATCAAATTCTCGTATTCCTCCTGTGTTTGTTCAACATCAACATCGAAAAATCGAACATCGGCATAAGTAGTAGCCAATGGACTTAGCTGATCACACAAGCTACCCAATATCTTCATATGATCCTTCAACTTTTCAAACACTTCATTGGCGGCCTGAAATAAGACTGTCACAGTAGAGAGCCGTTGATTCTGCAAACGCTACTTATCTTCCTGTATTAATATATATTTTTTTTCTCAAGGCACAAAAGTTTCGTTTCTGTTCAATCAAAAATGCTTAACCTTTAACGATTCCAAATCGCTCAAAACTTCTTCAGCTGAACGTAACGATTTTGTTACATCTATTAAGCCGCGGATATGCTCCAAGTTCTCCATTGCCAAATCACGTTCGCTAACAAATTTGTTCCACAAATTATACCGACCAGAAAGTTTTTCCTTGATGTCTTGACCGTTTATCAATAAAGTTTTTAACTTTTCAACCAAATCTTCATCCTCCACTGAACGCGATTGGAACAATTCATCTGCGGCGTCCAACACTTCCTTAGACTCGTTAGCTACACGATCATAGAAATTTGGATTTGCATCTTCATCCAACAAAAGTTTGTTGCCCTTATCAACAAACGTTTCAATGTCCGTTATAAGTCGCTTTGCCTGTTGAGCTAGCTTCTCCTGTTCAAGCAGGTGCGACAGACGCTTCTTTAAGGTGTCCTTTTCGGACTAAAATAACAGAAATTTAGAAACCCGAACTTCATAGAAACACTGATGTAATAGTTTTGTAATCAAAAAACAAAACTAATCTCAACCTTAAGATTATCCTCCATCATTTCCAATTCTCTCAATAAGTTATCTTTTTCAACATTTTTTTCTGCATCCAACTCAGCCGTATTTGCCGAAACCATTCTGTTTTTCAATTTATCACAAATTTCTGCCATTCTCTAAAACGGAATAACACGTTAATAAGATCATCAATGCACTTAGATTTCAAGCAGAAAAAAATCTACTAAGTTTATTGTTACCTCAAGTTCTTCTAACCGCTCATTACACGACATCACAGACAAGTTGAATACGTCTGGTACAGGAGTCGACTTTAATGAATCCAATTGATTTCGAACATCCGTTTGCAAGGCGACAAATTCTGCAATGGCAGCTAACTTGTTGCCAACGCTATCCTTTAAACGTTGCTGGAAGTCCTTTAACCGTTTCAACCAGTCGCCTATATAGTCACGTAAATTTTTACCCTCTTC